CGGGAGTAAATAGGTTAGCTAGCACACATAGTCGTAACTCGTTCCTCGTCACGAGGTACGTGCACTAGCTCCTAGGTCCCACCACCATCCCCGGAACACCACCAGGACGATAGCAGTAGTAGTAGTTAGCTAGCGAGCTAACCGAGCGACAACCAAGCGAGACAAACACACTCAGCTAGCACGGACGCTCTTTTTGTCTTGAGTGGCAACTATCCCAGGTTGCCTGGAGATATTCGATAGCCTTCGGCTATCCATCCCCACGCATCGCCACTCAGGCTACCAGGGATCTAGTTTCCTGGCCTTTCGGCTAAACTTGGACACCCTATCCGGGGTCCCTCGCGTGCCTAGCTCCTTGTAGAAGCTATCTGCATGCGCAAGTAGCCGAGGACACGCCACTGGAACTCTCCTCCCCTCAGCTCTATCCTTTGGGCTGGGTCGAACTCCTTGAACTCTTCGTTGGTGAGATCATCCGCTAGCTGGTTGATGTCTCGCCGTATCCACTGGAGCTGTAGCTCGCAGTTCTTATGGGATAGCTCTTCGGCTACCTCCATTAAAATTAGCATAGAAGGATACTTGGTTGTCATAGCCTTCTTCACAAGTGCCTCTTTTGCTTGTTGAGTTCTCGCGCCGCCCACGCAAGTGTGAACGACGTGTCAAGCTTCCTCCTCTGAGATACAAGTATCACGAACACTGTACTGCAAGGGATACGAGTATCAAAAAGCTATACAAGATGCCGGCTCGCACGGAAGCAGAAGTCCGTCGTGGGAGGCTTCGGCACTCGGGTGAAGAGGGCTCCACGGTGCTACACTTGCAGGCAGCAGGAGCAAAACTTACTAGGGTGTGACAAGGAGTTCGGGGTGTACAGAGAGAACTCACGACACACCTCTAAGAGAGCAGGAGCTCTCTGTCTTCAACGTGTAAGGTACAGCAAGACCTTGGGGTTAAGCACTAACGGAAGACTGTACAGAGCAGTTGCAGTCGACGACGTTGTTGAAACTCAGCTCACCTCGCCCCGCAGCGCCGCGGCAGCACCAGCGCCACCAGCCTCGCAGCAGCCAGCAGCGCAGCCAGAAGCTCGAGGAAAGCTTCGAGGTCAGGTCACACGTCAGAGAGTCGCGGAAGGCCTTCGAAGCGAAGGCGGTCAAACCCAGCTCGAGGTTCAGAAGCTACTGTAGCCCTCAGCTCAGCACACAGCAGCGCCACCGTCGAACGAGAGTCGAGTAGTGAGGCGGTTCAGAGTAACGAAACCAGGTTGGTAGTCCAGTGGACTCGCAGTCGGCTGCAGAGAGCAACCCAGTGCCCGGGTGGCACAGCAGCCAGCAGCCCCACAGCAGCTCAAGGCACGGTAGTGCCAGCACGCAAGAGGGTTGGGGAACCGGGCCTAAACCCTAGCACTAAGCACCAGCTCCCGGGGGAGAGCTGGCTTCGCCTTCAGTCCCAGCACGGGGAAGACTTTCAAGGAAGCAGTGTAGCCTTTCGGCAGCCTTTGCAGAAGCCCTGACTGCGGCCTCCTCCCAAGCTTTGACGCGAGTAGCCTCGGCGACCCATTTTTCTCTAAGAGATCCTCTAAGCCTTCTAGCTACACAGTCCTTGGCAGCACGGTCGGCGGCATCATTTAAGGATCGCAAGAAGGCAGCACTGAAAGAAGAGTGTGTCGGCGCCCAAGATGCCTTACGGTTGTGTGCAGGGACCCACAGGAAACGAAGATCAATTCCATGACAGCGGATCTCGGCAGAAAGCTGCTGGAAGTGAACAGAAAACAGAGGAAGTGACGGACACGAAAAGCGAGCCTGAAGGGCCGCCGAACAGTCTACAGCAATCGTGATGCTCCCCCTGGTTCCCCATGAGGCCGCCACAGCCACAGCTTTAAGGGCCAGAAGCAGAGCACAAAGCTCGGCTCGAAACGAAGACTGGTCTTCACAGTTGTTGCCACCAGCAAACGCATTTGCACATGCATGCACAACGACCGCATGGGCCGCCACTCCGTCCTTTGAGGAACCGTCGGTCGCGATCGCAATGGACGGGGACTCCTGCAGCTCAGCCTGGATGGCTTCAGCCGTTTCGTCAACGAGCCCGTCAGCATCCACCGCAGGCGGTGGAAGTGGAGGCTCGTCGAGATGCATGGCCAACAGCCTCGCCTCGCCCCGGTGTTGTGGTGCCACTAGGCCACGTCTGATGTCCTCAGTGGAGGGGCACACCCATAGCAAGTGGGCACGGCTCGGTCGCAGTGTCCCGTCGGCACAAAGCAGTGGCGTCACGAGAGAACCACCAGCCCGTGCGAGCCAACAAGCTCTCAGTCTCGGGAAGTTGCGCATGCCAGCGCCCTGGGCAGTGCCCAAGCGGGACTTCTTCCAGCCATACCGGCGGCTTAGAAACCCATCGCCAAAACAGTCTGCACAGGCCCAGGTCGAGGGCGAAGGAAGGTTCTAAACCCCATCCTAGCAACTCGTAAAAGGCAACCGTGGCAACATCCCCCCCGTACCCCGAGCTGAACAAGAAGCGAACCTCATGCTGCACGGTTTGGATATCATTGGCACTCGGTCTAGCGAAACCTGCCGCCCATGCCAAACAAGGCATGACAAGCGACCGCACCAGCATGATTCGGGAAGTGGTTGCAGCCTGCGTCCACCGAAGCAATCGCAATCTGAGAACCGCCTTTCGAAGCGAAAATTTTGGGATAGCCCCTGACCCCTCAAAATCAAAGGACACGCCTAAAAGCTCAAGGGACCCGCAAGTTAAGAAGTTCCACTTAGCAGCAAGAAGGCGGGTGGCATTCGTGTGATGCTTGGCAGCAACAAAACATTTGTCCTCCGCGAGCTTCAACGAAAAAGCCTGATCAAAGTCAGCACTTGCATGCAAAGCGGCATCAAGGTCCTGGAGGGATCCCTGGGGTTCCACCCAGAGAGTGCGGTCATCCATGAAAATTTGAGCACCAATGTTAGCACACGATGCCTTGACATACTCACTCCAACAATGGGATAAGGCTGCTGCCGCCAACGGTGAAAGAGGGCAGCCCTGCCCGAAGCCCGAACAAACCTGATGAACCCCAGGGGCATACGAACCTTCGAAGTTAAAATACCGCCTGGCATCGGAATAAAACGAGTTAAGGAGTGGCAACAACTGGGGTGGCGCACCTAACCTATTGAAGACCTCGCCCATGGCCGGCACGTTTAGGGAATCAAAGTACCCAGCTACGTCCATCAAAGCAGCGGTGTTGACACCCCGCTGAATGGCAGCCTGGAGCTGGAACAAAACATCCGATGTGGATCGGCCCGGAAGGCCACCGTGGTCACTGGAGGAAGCCCATTTGAGGGTCCAAGGACGAAGAGCTCGCGCAATGTGCTTGGACCCAACTCGCCAAATCACCTGAGTAAGGGTAATCGGTCGGGTTTTTGGCCCGCCTCGCTTACGGATCAAGGAAACCTTGGCAAACCTCCAAAGCTTTGGCACCTGACCCCGTTCCCACACGTGTTGCCATAGCTGTGCGGCTGCATGCCACCACCTAGTGGGCATGCCGTGCTAGGTCCTTTGCTTGCCAGCTGTCTGGCCCTGCGGCTTTATTCGAAAAGGAAGCAGCGATGGCCCTGAGTGCATCTGGGTCAAACTGAACCTCAACAAGTTGGGGCTCGACAGCCGGTACCTTTTGAAGGACCTTCGCAATGGCATCAAGGTGGGGTTCGGGTTCGGACTCCCATTTGCTAAGCCAAACTTGGGCCTGTGCTCGTACTACACTGGAAGGATGAACCGGTCCCGCAACCTGTGCCTCGGCTTGGTTGGGGCAACGCTTCTCGTATTCGAGCTGAGCATCCGCTCTGGACTTGACGAAGGCCCGTTGCCGGGCAGTGTTCTCCCTCAGCATCTCTTTCCAGCGAGACCGAGCTGCAGCAGTTTCCTGTTCCTGATAAACCCCAAGCAACTCCTCAACCGGCCCAAGGAGTGTTTCAAGATTACAAGCAAGAACCCAAGGTAGGTCAGGCACGATGGCACGAGCACGGGGTAGGGATTTAAGGATTTTTCGGCATAAAGCCGGGTCCGGCTTCCTGGCGAGTTCTAAAAGCTGCCGCTGTAACTTAAGAAGAACACGCATCGATGCAGATCCCTCGACCCTGTTACAACTGTTCACCTTCGCAGCAGTTGGCGACCAAGGCTGACTTCTGGGGCAATCGCCAAAGCGCGAGGAACATATGCACTGCTCGGCCACATCGGAGAGCACTTGCCAACTTGTATCGACATCCCCCTTGGCTAAAGCAGACCAGAATGGAGCAAAATCAGCCTCACCGAACCACTGCTCTAGGTCGTCAGAAGAGGCGTCGCAAACTTTGCTCCTGGCTGGCATAGTCATAAACTGGGGGGTGTCAAGAGGTAGCTCATAGACCACCGACAGGTGATCGGAGAACGACGGCTCCAAGTGCCAGACGCCACTAGCCGCCAGCGACCAGTGGCAAACCCCGTGATCTATGCGGCGCCTGCGTCCTGGGCCCGTGGGCGGTAGGGCGGCACCCTGCGCCGCGTCGTCTAAAGACCTGATGGCCCCTGCTGCAAGGGCTTCGCCCAGGACGGCCTCAGCGGGTTCAAGATTCATATCGCCCGCGACCACAAAGGGTCCTTGACCCGCGGTGCAAGCCGCCAGGATGTCCGAAATTTGGGCGGACGCGGCGGCCTGGTGTCCTGACTGTCCGTAGACAGACACGAAGGCAATCTGCTCATGTTGTGGTGCTCCCTGAAATTCAAAAATGCCTGCCGCGCACCTGGTGTTTCCCAAACCCTCTGCAAGTCTGAACGGTCGAAATGGCAGAGAGCTGACCAGGGCGACTCGGAGTCCTCGGGAACAGATAAAGTGGCTGAAAAACCGTGGGCCTTCCAGGCACGAAGAAAACCCGGGGCCGATGCAACATTGATGTCAGCCTCGGCAATGGTACAGATGTGCACGTCGTTTGCCGCAAGGAAATTGCAAATGGCATCAACAGACGACACACCCTTGCCAGCAATGTTGACAGTGGCTAGTCGGACGAAAACGGCAAATTGAAAATGTCTCGGGCCTGTTGGAGCAATTTGCTCTCACGCTGCTTTTTCGCTCCGGGAGGCGTGTTTTTGCCATGAGCCTTGGCAAGCACTTCAATGGCCTTGACACGGCGCTTGGCTTTCTTTTGGGCGGTCTCCTTGTTACACAGTCCCCTTTTGGCGTGGGAAAGGGCATCCCCAGAGGTGCGAAAGGGACCGCAGCAGTTCAGACACATCCATCCAAAAGATGCCGCAAGACCACCTTGAGCCTTAAAGGTTTTGGAAGGCGCTGCCCTCGGCCAGCAGAACAACCTAAAACCCTCAAGGTCAGTACCCTTGGCTTTGCTAAGGCGCTTGATGCACTCACGGCCCCTTCGTGTGACGGCCGCCTTCTCAATGGTGCTGGCACGGTCAAGGGCCTTGAACTTTTTCCAGGAAGTATCAGGATGTGCTTGCGTGCAGTGGGCCCGCTTGTCAGCAGTGACAGCGTCTGCACTTTTTGAAAAAGCATCCTGCGCGGCAATCCCGAAATTGCAAATCGGGCACTTCCAGTGAAGCGCCTGGCCTCGGCCTGCACGAATCAGAGAAGGCTGCCGCCGACCATGCAACACGCCTGAAGGTACCTGACCAGGGTGATGGGCTTTGTAATGGCTATAAAGCATGGTCTGGCGGGCAATGGCATTTTTGGCGGTGGCCCTGAAAGGGCACAAAGGACAGACAACAGCAGTCTTACGATCAAGACACAGCCCCGCACGGCCCCAGTACCTGATTTGGCGGTCAGTTGGTGGGGTAGGGCCGGTGAGGAGTTCTCCATCATGCTGATCATGGCTTGCAACCGCCGTCGTCTCAGAGGCAGCGGGGAGCACGGACACATCCTCATTCCTGCCTTGTTCAGCAGGGGATCCGGGCTCGGTCCAAACTGATCCTTTGCTCGAGCTGATGGTGACCTGGGCCTTTGTCCAGACCGACTTGTGACTGCACGAGCGCTGTGAGGGCAATGTCCAGACCGAGTGCCTCGAAGCAGCAGCGCTGGTTCCAACAGAGGATGTTTTGCCACCCCCTGTCATGGGCACGTTTGGCGGGGCAGTAACAACATCTCGCAGTTCCTGCGGCAGTTTATCGACTGGCCGGAGCCACTCATAATGGCTGCCATTAAAAGCCAAGACTACAACCCTTTTACGCTGCTGAACATGGACAGCGCACACCTCAAGTTCAGGCGACCGGGGGTAAATGACGAATTTAACGTCAAAAATGCGCCCTAGTGCGGCGAGTTCTAGATGGCCTGACCATGTCCCGACCTCCGCTATAGCATTGATATACTCTGTAAACGAACTGGCGGGAGCCTTGTTAGGCATCTCTCTATCCCAAGCAAGTTCGTACCGCTCTTTGTGTTTAGTAAAGTGTTGTGCTACTTTGGCGCGTAATACGCTGTGCGGTTCTGGCTTGGTCTTGAGAACATGAGCTAAGGCCGAGGATGCAGCATGGAAAAAAAGGCAATTACCGTCGGTCGGGGCGCTTTCTTGCACCATGCCTTTGGGAAGGTCCCGGGTTTCAGTGCACGTGCGTTTTGCAGCGCCCGTGCCTTTGCTCGGGGAGCCCCTTTTTGCCTCTTTCTCATCCTTGGCCTCTTTAGCTTCCTGAGCAGCCTCCTTTGAGTTGGCCGATTTCATGGCAGCGTCATCCTCCGGCTGATTTTCGTCCTCTTCCGGCTGAACAACTTGTGCAACCTTGGTGGTTTCCCCAAAGGGGTCACGCGGAGGCAACAGCGACCAGGAGCCATTCGTTCTGATGGTTTGGGCTTGGGGTCTTGCGCGGACCGGCGCCCATCTGCACCACATAATTTCAGTCTGGTCCCCATCATCAAAAGGAAGGGCAACGACATCGTGATCAGTGGTGTGAGCAGCTTTGAAAAAGAAGTTGATTCCCTTACGCGTGCGCTGCTGACGAGTCATGGTCACTTCTGCAAAGATGCTCGATACAGCCTCGAGAGCCTGGGCCGCACTCCAGTCGAAAGGGGCATGCTCAAGCATCCACATCCTGGTGACGGCCTGATTGGCATCCCTAGCAACACGTTTTCCCAAACCCCTCCGTCCGACTATGATGCCGTAAGGGGCTTCGACAGTCCGGACCCGTTGCAGGAAGTCAAGATCACTCTCCTTGGGCTCTTTCTCAGCCCACTGCACAACAAAGGATGGGAAAGATGTCCATCGTGGTGGGTCGATAAAGATGCCGTCCCGCCCACTCAATGCAACGAAGGCTGTAACGTCGGCCTCGGGAACTCTAAAAAAGGGCGTAAACCTTATGATCTTCCCCCTGTGCTTGTTCCTTTGCCCAGCCCCAACTGTCCTGCACTTTCATATATTGTTGCGCAACCCAAGTGTGGAAAGCTCGCTGGGGACTTGCAATCACATCTTTCCAGGTGGCCTTGGAAACATACCTCTTATAAATCCTCACATACAGGACTGCAGTTTTCGTCGGCATGACTTTTTGAGCCCTGGCAGCAGCAACCTTTGGGCCCGGCAGTTCAATTCCAGCCGTACTGATGTGATGGAAATGGACCTGCTTGAACACACAGCTGTTCCCGATGGCACCAGGACAGCGAGCTGAAGCATCAGGGTGGTCAGGAGTGACAGCGACGACCCCATGAGGTCGCTTGGATCCAAGAAGCAAGGTTGCCAAGAGGTCGGCTTGCCCTGGCCCACAAAGTACTACAGCTTTATAAACTCCAGTGGTTTTTTCCAGCTCACCTGCGACAGCATCGAAGTTTACGGCCGGAGCCGTCCAACCCGAGGACCGAAGGCTCCACGAAGCCTGCGGTTTTCTGCGGTCAACGGTCTGCCATTCATCGGTTGGCTGCGCTTCGGCTGCTCTTGGCTGGCCTTTGCCTTTTGCGCCGTCTCCTTTGCCACGGCCGTTTCCCACCTCAGCGGGCTTGCCACCTTCTTTGCCATGACCTTTGCCGACAGTGCCCGGCGATGGACCATTGCCGGGGCCTTTTGCGCCGCCTTTGGCGCCTTTGGCCTTGCCTTTGGCATCTGGCGAGCTTCTGTCAGGCTGGGTGGCATGGGCGCCGGAGTCAACGGAAGAATCCTCCCCAGCGGGTGCGTCGGACGCTTTGCCATGCTGACGCTTGCGCCGTTTCGGCCCAGGCTGTTCAATCTCCGATCCTTGCCGGTCTCCAAGCGAGAGGCCCTGCAGGGCTTCCTTGATGGCCTTTTGCACTGCAGCCTCGATGAAAGCACGGATGTTCGAGGCGAAATCGGGCCCCAAGAGACTGCCAATATCAAGATTGAAACCGCTCTTACCCTCGGATCCCTTAGGTCCTGGATTGCTCGCTTCACCGACACGCACCCCCACGAAAGGCGACCAACAAGATTGCAGCCGAGGGATACAGGCCAAGGGCAGTGCACACCCGACCCACATGGCAACCTCAAAGATGCAATCAAGAATTCCCGGGTCCTGGGTAGCGCTGGGCTCGATGCTCGGTCTCAGGAGGTCAGGTCTCCTGGCCTCAGGTCGAAAAAGTTCAGCATAAACATGTGCATGATGTTCAGCGCTCCTGGCAACAGTCTTGGTACCTCGGGATATACTCGGATCTTGCGACCTGCTTGGACCCACAGTACCAGTTGACAGCGCAGTGTGCAGCCACAATTGGTCAGAATTAAAGCGCGAAGCGGTATCATCGCAGCAAATGGCAGCAGTGGATTCGGCGCTCCAAGGAAAGCAAGCGACACTAAGGGATATGCTTGGATCTTGCGATCTACCTGAACCCTCCGTGCCCTGCAACCCTGTATGCTGCCTATGTCGGTCACTTTCAGCAAACTGGTCACAACGCACAAACCAGCCCGCACTCTCAATGGATATTCTAGGGTCTTTCGACCGACCTCGACCATCAATCGTGCAAAGCAGTCTCTTCACAAGTGCCTCATTGGACTTGTTATCCGTATATCCACGGATGGCCACTCGCGAGGTCTTTCTATCCTCGCCCTCGGGGACCCAGAGACGTATCCCCACGAGGGTCGCTAGCAGTTCTAGCGCAGCTATCACTTTCTTGGGATCGCCTTTCGAAAAGGCCCAAGGAGCCCAGGCCCTATCCACTTCGAGTGAAAACCAGGGTCCCGGCTTCCCTTCGGATTTCTCCAGGAAGCCCCCTATCCAGGCTCAGGTGATAGCCCAGCGTAGAGAGTCACGGGACGTTGAAGCCTCTCTCCCTGGTCGAGCTTGTCGGCTAGCCACCGCATCAGGACCCTCAGCATCGTAGGAATGGAGGTAACCCCGTTTTCCCGGCGTGGAGGGGGCCCAGGAAGGGTCTCTGCCAGTCCAGGGCTATGGCCGCGAAGCCTAGCCTTCCTAGCCCCTGCTGCATCTCCTTGGCGGTGACCTTGCCAGAGGCCACCTTGTCGTTTAGCCAGGAGGATAGCCAGGACGTTTCTTCGACATGCCTAGCCTGTGGGAGGAATACTCCGTCTCCATTTCCAGCCACTCCACCCTACGAGTCTTCGCCCACTTGTGGGGATAGTCCAGGACCGAGAGGAGGAGGTAACTCAGAGGAATCCGTCCCTATCCCCAGGGCCTCGAGGTCATCGGCGTATAGCAGGAGGTCGATGGGATAGCCGGGTCCCAACAGGTGATGGGTTGCCCGTAGCCCACATGCGGCTATCCTAGTCCACCAGTAGCTCGCTGGAGATAGCCCAAAGGTGCCAACCTTGTTGACATCTGGCTATCCGGGTCCCGGGGATCGTCTCCTCGGTATCTATCTGGCAGCCCATGAAGCCGTGCTCGCTGGCCTGATGCTTGTATCGCCGATGGGCTTTCGAGATATCCCCCACGACCGAGAAGGGAGCTCTCTCAGGATCTGTTTCTTTTCTCTAGCCCCCGGAGCCCGGATCTTGTCCCGGCACCGTATCCGATGGTTGACCCTCACGCCATGGGTGGCGTCATGGATTATCCGTTTCTTGTCCTTCTCCTCGTCTTCGACTTTTTGAGAAGCAGTCGTGTCGGCTTCGCCGAAGTCGCCCCGAAGTTATCCAGGTGCAGGGCAACGGAGCGTAGCCCCTGGTTAGCCAATTGGCTATGCGCCGGCCACTGCCACATGCTAGCCGGTCGTTGCCCTTTGTGGCGGGCATAGCCCCGAGGTCTTCGGGTTGCTCCAAGACGAAGAAGGTAGCCGAGCTGACGGTCGCACTAGCTATTTCAAAAGAGAAATCAGCAAAAATGTTGCCAAGGATAGCCCGGTCTCTCTCCTTGGACGTCAGCTTCGCCAGTCCACGTGGTTCGGCAAGGCTGCGTACTGGCCTTGGACCCTTCCAATTAGCCCAAGAGGAGCGTGAAAAGGTAGCCACCGGGGGAGAAATAGCCACGATATCATAGGCTCCAGATTGGACTAGCCGAAGGTATTTAGCCCTCGATTTGGATGTCGCCAGGTCGGTTGAAGAAGATCTAGCCAGATCCACACAGCAAATCTCCAAGTCGACCCCGAAGTTGGAGGCTAGCCGACGGAGATGGCCTTGAAAGCTCCCTGGTCTCTCCCTACCAGAGAAGAGGTACAGTACTTGTAGCCGTCGGGCGGTCGTGGCCGAAGGAGGGGTAGCCGAGGTCGGCGCCGGTGGCGTAGGCTGAGCAAGTCAGTTAGCCGCAGAGGACGGAGTAGCCGCGCCGGGGCAGTTAATCGCCGAGTGCTGGCCGCGGCACTTCGTACAGACATGTACGAAGTGGCACTTATCCCCCTTCTTACAGCCGCCCTTCAAATTAAACCGGAAACAAATCGGCTTATTATCCTCAGTGCGGTGAAAGGTGCCGGCCTTAGCCTTCTTGTTGCTATCCTTGCCGTCCTTGCCCTTGCCCTTGCCTTTGGTCTTCTTGTGGGGAGGCTTATCCGGCAGCGTGTCATCCCACGACCAAGGCTGCGGCCGCTTAGCACAAAGCGCTAGCGGGGTTGTGAAGTGGCGCTCCTTCGTAGCCGCATCCTTCCAGGACTGGACTAGCGCGTCAGCAAAGCCTATCCCCTTGAGGACCATTTGCTTGTAGGTCTGCTTCCGGATAGCATTCTCGTAGGATAGCACCAAGGTCCAGGGAGGAGCTAGCGAACCGCTAGCATCGTTGGAACGTAGCCCATAGCAGAAGTAAGAGCTGGAAGTCGATATCCTTCAGCTCGGCGCGCCCCGGGTGCTGCAAGCCTATCATGAGAAGGGCATTCTGCATCACTGTTAGCCGGAGGCGAAGCTGCTCCGGGCCTGATGGCATAGCCCCTTTCGAGGTAGCCTTCTTGAGCATAAGGGCGGTGCCTTTGCTATCCCATTGCGGAACTAGCACATCCGGATCAATCTCGTCTCTGGATAGCACCTCGTTCAAGGGCTCAGCCCTGAACTCGCCCGTTTCTAGCTCGTGGAGCTTTCGCTCAATGTATTCCTTCGCAGGAATGTGCTTATCCTCGGGCTCGCCAAACTTTTGTGCAAAGGCCTGGCGCATAGCCATGTACTCCGTTTGCGGGATGGGTTTCGCCCATAGCCGCCTCTCTATCCGCCTGTTCGCGGGTGCGAGCCTGGGCCGCTCTCCAGGCTACCACAAAGGCAGCCGCTAGCGCCCTGTTCACCAAGGAACTTTCTGGCTCTATCGAGAAGTCCTTCGCTAGCACCGATTTCAAATCGGCCTCGTCCTTGAAGCTCGCCGAAAACTTTGCGATCGTGTCTATCCCGGCTTTGAACAAGGTAGCCTGGGAAGTATCCGGGACCCTATTCTGGGTAAGAAGATAGCGGAAATCAGTGGAGCCTTTTGCTAGCTCCGCGGGGTCAGGAAGGTGCCTAGCTCGTGCAGAGCTAGCCGGTTGTCACGCTAGGGTCGTGTCTTGAAATTGAAAGCTCTAGCATCCGTGGGTGCAGCTTAGCCCCCCCCAGACCAGAGAGTTGGGACAGAGGGAGGACCCCCTAGACAAGACCCGGAGACGTCCCCCCCTCTATCCCCCGCAGCCCAAGAGTTGGGAAAGAAGGAGTCACCCCAGACGAGACCCGGAGCATCCCCCCCCCCCACCGACTATCCC